TCAGGCTTCAACCTCAATCCATTAGCTGCCATCCATCCTCCAACTGCCTCCAGGCACTCACACAGGACCTTCACCGCCTTCACTGGTTCTGATTTGAAAGAGAGGTAGAGCTGTGTATCATCTGCATATTCATGGACACCCAGTCCAAACCCCCTGATGATCTCTCCCAGCGGCTTCATATAGATGTTTAAAAGCATGGGGGAGAGGACAGAACCCTGAGGCACCCCACAAGTGAGAGCTCAGAGGTCTGAACACTCATCCCCCTTCCCACTTTCTGAACACGGCCCAGGAGGGAGGAGCAGAACCACTGTATAACAGTGCCCCCAGCTCCCAGCCCCTCTAGACGGTCCAGAAGGATGTAGGATGGCAATGTAGAAAACAATTTCTGAACAGCTTCAGTGGATCCTATTCCCTATTTGATTTCATTTGCTTTTACTACAGAATGTGATGCATTTAAGAAGATGAGAAAGAATGAGATTTTAAATGAGAAAACAGCTACCACAGTATGACAGCTTTTACACTTCGAGGGATACATTTTTCTGAATTGTTAAATCCAAGAGAAGTTCATCATGTATTAGGACTGGCAGTGCTGCTTCCAAGTAAGCAAATGAATAGTATTGGTGACTGACCATTTCACGGTTAGGAAATCTGGAACAAGAACTAATATTCATAGAGTATTTTGTTCTGGTGTCAAACTTCTGTGAAGCAAAGCCACCCACCCTAAATGGGGATAAGTGATTCCCTTAACAATATTTTTATATTCTCCCATTCCAGGCTTCTTGACTGGCATGGGAAATATCTAAGTATTTGGAGGGCTAAAATGTGAAAAATGGGCGACATTTATTTTATGTCCCTCTAGCCCAGCCTTAGCCAGCCTTGGATCTTCAGGTCTTGTTACTGCAAATTATAGCTACTATTATCGGTTTTGTTGTTTAGAATATATATGGCCCACCCTTTATCAATATGAATATAGTTAAAAACTGTGTGTTACCAAGATACAGTAGGTATCATAGCAGCTAGGTCATTTCTCTTTAAGCTAGCACATGGTGGTTTTGGTCATGATCACTGCCTCTGAATCTTGGAGAAATACTAAGTCCGACTCCAGCAGCTACATCAACCTCTGAACCTGATCCTTCAATGCGGGCATGTAACATATGGTATACCCTAAAAGCACTGCACTGGCCGCCCCATAATTGCTGTGCCCTGTTTATAATCCCCTAAGTATTTGGAGCCCAAGAATCTGTAGGAGACTTGGCTTGTAAAGTATTAAAAACGGAAATTTGCCCTAAAACTTGCTCAGACCGCAATGCAGTTTTATGGATCTGAAAATGTCCTTACAGGGTTCCTTCAGATGGAGAATGAATGATGATTTGTTGAGGAGTACCCAAATTGTAAATAAAGTCCAAAAAGCCTTAAAGGATTATTTTGAAATTAATATGAATCAGGGAACGGAAACAAGGGTTATTTGGGATGCCAGCAAAGCAGTAATGAGAGGATTTCTCATTCAACAAAATTCAATTAGGAAAAAGACACAGAATGAGAAAAAAGATAAAATTTTGGAACAACTAAAAGACAAAGAGAAGAGGCTTAGAGGTAACCCAAAGAATTTGCAGATACAAAAGGAAATTAAAGCCTTACAGATTCAATATTCACAGATTATAAATCAAGAACTATAATGGAAACTAAGGAGGATGAAACAAAGGAACTTTGAATCTGCAAATAAATGTTGGAAACTCTTAGCTTGGCAATTAAAAAAGAGGCAAAAGCAAAGTACTATCACAAATATTGTAACAGAAGGAAAGTCTGTGAAGAACCCTGTGGACATAAGAAAATGTTTTCACAAGTATTACAAACAACTGTATAAAAAGGAGAAAGAGGACCAGGCTAAAATTGAGCAATTTATTAAAACCAATGGTTTGCAGAAGATTCCTGAAGATAAAAAGATCCTACTAAAGGGACTAATTACAAGCCAGGAAGTGGAATATGCAATAAACTCAATGCAACTTGGCAAGGCCCCGGGACCAGATGGTCTATCAGCAAAATACTATAAGAAAGATTGGCTTATCCAACCATTGGTATGCAATATGATTCTAGGAGGGGGCAAAGCACCTGAAACCTGGAAGGAAGCTTATATTACTCTGATTCCAAAACAAGATCAAGATAGATCCAATGTCAAGAATTACAGACCAATCTCCCTACTTAATGTGGATTATAAAATCTTTGCGAATATACTGGCTAACAGGCTAAAGAAGGTTCTGTCTGAATATATACATAAGGACCAGGCAGTTTTATGCCTGGAAGACACATGAAAAATAATATTAGGAATGTTGTAGATATATTGGAAAAGTTGGAAGCAAGAAAGAACTGTAAAGCAATGTTAATGTTTATTGATGTGGAGAAAGCCTTTGACAATGTATCTTGGAGTTTTATGTTACATAATTTAGAAAGTATGGGGGTTGGTCAAGACTTTTTAAATGAGATTAATGTGATCTATCATGAACAAAAAGCTAAAATTATTGTAAATAATGTGGTATCAGAGGAAATTAGAATTGAAAAGGGAACCAGGCAAGGGTGCCCACTTTCCCCTCTGTTGTTCATTTCGGTCCTAGAGGTCTTGTTAAGTATGATAAGAAAAGATGAACAAATTAAAGGTATTACAGTAGGATCCAAATAATATAAATTAAAAGCCTTTGCTGATGATTTAGTACTGACATTACAGAATCCAGACTCCAGTGCAGTAAAAGCACTGGAGTTGATACAGGAGTTCGGACAGGTAGCGGGATTTAATTTAAATATGATAAAACCAAAGTATTAGAGAAAAATCTGGATAATGATGAAAGAAAATTATTACAAGAAAAGAAGGGCTTAGATTTTGTGAAAAAAGTTAAGTATCTGGGAGTCAATTTGCCAGGGGGAAATTTGAATTTCTATAAAGATAACTATGAGAAACTATGGAATGAAATTAAGAGAGATCTAGAGATATGGTCAGATTTAAAATTGTCACTAATGGGCCGGATTTCGGTGGTTAAGATGAATGTATTGCCAAAGATATTATTTCTGTTTCAAGCCCTCCCAATTATAGACAATGTGAAATGTTTTAAAGAATGGCAGAAAGCTTTATCTAGATTCATCTGGCAGGGGGGAAAACCCAGAATTAAATATAAATTACTAACAGACTCTAAAGAAAGAGGGGGATTTTCCCTGCCAGATTTGAAGATCTATTTTGAAGCAGCTGCGCTTTGCTCGATTAAGGAATGGATACAACTAGAAGACACCGATGATTTAGATCTGGAGGGATTTAACAATGTGTTTGGATGGCATGCATATTTATGGTATGATATAGTAAAGGCCCATAATGCTTTTAAAAACCATGTAATTAGGAAATCTTTGTTTAATGTGTGGATAAAATATAAAGATCTCTTAGAAAGGAAGACACCCAGATGGCTCTCGCCAATGGAGGCGAAGGCCCAGAAAAAGTTAAATATGGAAACCAAATGGTTGAGATATTCAGACCTGTTATTGGAAGACAAAGAAGGTTATAAATTAAAACCATTTGATCAAATCAAAGATAAGATAAATTGGTTACATTATCACCAGATCAATGAATTGTATAAACTAGATAAGAAAAATGGTTTTGCTTCAGAAAAAACTAAGTTGGAAACGGAGTTGCTGGACTCTAAAGTTAAAAATTTGTCTAAAATGTATAATTTACTGTTGGAATGGCATACAAAGGATGAGCAAGTTAAATCAGTGATGATAGATTGGGCAAGAGATGTGGGACATAATTTAATGTTTGAAGACTGGGAAAGATTGTGGAAGAAAGGGGTCAAGTTCACTGCATGTACAGTGTTAAAAGAAAATATTATGAAAATGATGTACAGGTGAAACTCGGAAAATTAGAATACCATGGAAAAGTTCATTTATTTCAGTAATTCAACTTAAAAGGTGAAACTAATATATGAGATACTCTTGACATGCAAAGCAAGATATGTCATGCAACCTGCGCCAACCTGGTGTTTTTGCCCGCAACTGCTATCAGCCAGTATAGCAGATGGTCAGGAATAATAGGAGTTGAGTTGTAGTTCAAAACATCTGGAGGAAACCAGATTGAGGAGGGCTAGATTGGGGATATCTGAAGAGCATTGTAACCAGTTTTGCATGGATACTTAACCACAGTCCTGCTTGTGGGGCCAGATGGCTGCTTTTCTCCATTACATAATGGTTTTTTCCAGTCTCTAAGAGTAGGATCCACATAGAGCTGGGCTGGTAAAAGTCAGTACAAGATAGCATTGGACCCCAGCTTGTCAATTGCAGCCTAAATTCATTAAGAAATCCCTGGTAAGCAATAGCTTCCAAGCCATTTTGCCAGGTGATAATGTGGAAATTGATACCATGATTCTGAAGCAACAGAGACTTGTTGTTCAAAAGGCAGGTCTTTCTTCAAACACAGCAATTCTTTTTAAATTTTTGTTTCTTGGCAGTTTCTGAATGGACTAGCTTGTCATAATCTTGCATATGTGTGGTTACCCTCTTCACTTCCCCTCCAGGACTTCATGCAGGGCATGATTCTGCAAGTGTGGAAAACTGCAGTGTGTGGCATTAGGGCTAACATGTCACTGTTTTCTTTATTGTTCTTTTTAAAGCAAATTCTAGCTTGAAAGAAGGTTGGCAATATCTGATGAAATCTCAGAAGTGAGAGGGATTTCTGACAAACACTTTCAGTGGTCATAGGCAAGGCTCAGCTTCTCTCTGCTTCTCAAGATTAGAACAATTAGCAGACTAACTTGTGCAAAGTAATAAACATTGCAAAATAACCTGCAGAAATAAATTATGGGGATTTGCTTAATTTTTCTATTAAACACAGGTTTCAGTGTTTTCAATGCAGTATCTGTGTTTTCCTTCTCTCAGAAATTTGCTTTTTAAAGAGAGATTGCCCAAAGCACTTCTTATTGGTCAACATTTTGGTTCCAGGATTTTCAATGCCCCCTTTTGAATTTCAGACTTATCAATGAATCTCTGAGGGACCAATTGCTTGTCACCATTCAGAAGACCTTCACCTATACCCGGACCCAGGCCCAGCATCTCTTCATAATCCTCATGGAATGCATGAAGAAGAAGGAACTGGTATGCAAGCACATTCTCTAGGCATGAAACACAGAAGCCCAATTTCATACCGGCTTGGTGCATAAATAAGGTTCAATCTCAGTTTGGAGATTGGGGGACCTGCAGTGGTATGCAGTCCATCTTTCTAACTTCCATGGCTCAAACCATAGTTTGTGTTAGATTTGCATTACCCAACCTCTGGCTTCTCTAAGGCTCGCCTGGAATATCTCAAAGCCATGAGCTGAAACCACACTTAGGAGGGCAATTGCAAACTGCAATTTGGGGCAATCCTGGTTAGACTTATCCATAGTTAGTGACATGTTTACCTGACGTTTAACCTCATTGGAAGGGAGAGGGAATTCATGCACAAGAGAGAGAATCTAAAATTAGGGTTGCTATGTTTGGAAGAGCAAAAAAGAGGACACACACACACACACACACACACACACGGCTCAGCTGGGGATTGGGAGCCTGCTGCTTCCCAGCTGAGCTGTGCAAAGAGGCCCCAGTGCTCCTGCATGCAAGTGGGGGGAACATCAGGGCTGACTCAGCTGAGGATCGGGAGCCCCTTGAGCAGGCAGATGCCCAAACGTAAAAACAACAGCAATCCAGACATTTTTTGTAAATTGTAAAAATCGGCCTGGCCGGAGATGTTGGCCATGGAAAAGAGGACATGTCAAGGAAATCTTGGACATATGGCAACCCTACTAAAATGCAAATCTGTAGCACTTTCCCAATTCCCAGCCCATGGTTTGGAGACTGGTTACGTTACATCTGTGTGAACTAAAACTGTGTTTCGGTGGATGTCAGTTAGAAACCATTCTGTCTTTTACATGTACATCTGTGTAACTGGAGACTTGGGCACAAAGAGTCCATAAGACCAGCCACAAACAGCTGATTAAAAGGTGATTTAAGTAAAATGTAAGAACAAATAAAATGGGAATTACATTAAAACTTTAAATTTGTAGGAATAGCTTCCATTGGCCTTACCTGTATAATGTCATTAACTCAATTAAGAAGTTTCATTGGACTTTAAGTTATGGATAAATTATTCACAGAGCACCAAAAATGCATCCATCACATTATATTACCTTAGGCCTGGCTGGAAGCATTTAAATATTGTTTTCAGAATCTGAATTCCAAATGTGCATTTTCTGAAACCAGTGGTGTTATTCTTTTTGTGTATTTGCTGTTGCTGCTTAACAATTTGCCCAGCAGCATGCCAGGAGCTATGCAAGATGCAATGCAAGATGCAATCCCTGCCTCAGGGCCTTGCATGAAGAAATCAAGGGCAGCATCAGTAAGAAGAGTGTTGAATTATTAGTGGTGGGGCAAAATCAAACCAAATGGCAATGCATGTGACAGGGAAGATAAGCCTGAGATGGTTTAGGGTCACCATTGCTTGATGAAGTAGATCTTGATGATGGACTTGACAGACTGCAAAGCTTTTCTAAACAGAGGGGGCTCCCTGGCACAGAAATGATAATGGTAGCCATAAAAACCCCCAGCTATGTTCAGATTGCAAGTTCAGATTGCTAACATTGTTATTTTTTAGCATTTATTTAACCATATCAATGAGCTTAAAGGTAAAGGGGCCCCTGACCATTCTGTCCAGTCGTGGCCGACTCTGGGGTTGCGGCGCTCATCTCGCTTTATTGGCCGAGGGAGCTGGCGTACAGCTTCCGGGGCATGTGGGCAGCATGACTAAGCCGCTTCTGGCAAACCAGAGCAGTGCCGGAAATGGTTTACCTTCCCGCCAGAGCGGTACCTATTTATCTACTTGCACTTTGACGTGCTTTCGAACTGCTAGGTTGGCAGGAATCAATGAGCTTAGTGGTGTACAAAACAGAGAAAGTAAATAAAACTGTATGAAATGTTTTATGGTCACTGGCATAACTAAGCAGGATCACAAAAGATAACAAATTCAACCTATTTTGTTTTAAAATTATGGCTTAGAGCCACATGAGTATTTTTAAAAAGCTTTATCCCTGTAAGTAGATTGTGTGTTGCCAAGCCCTCAGCCCATGTACAGAAAGTTTAGCATGTAATAATGTTTCACCCACTGATAATGATTCACAGTGCAAAATTATTTACATTAAACATATTTTACTCTTTTTTAAGTATGTTTGGTTTTTGGCTTTACAGAAGCTGGAAGGACAAAGCCACAGTTATAATTTTGGAGGCTGAAATGTATTAAAGGCTTCTAATTACATAACTTACCCAGAACTCCAACAACACTGAGTTGGTGAGAGTCAGTCTGAAAGACATGATAGAATCTGAGTCGCCAATGCCACTACAGTGGTACCTCGGGTTAAGTACTTAATTCGTTCCGGAGGTCCGTTCTTAACCTGAAACTGTTCTTAACCTGAACAGTTGGGCCTCCTGCTGCTGCCGCACCGCCGGAGCACGATTTCTGTTCTTATCCTGAAGCAAAGTTCTTAATCTGAAGCACTATTTCTGGGTTAGCGGAGTCTGTAAGCTGAAGCGGATGTAACCTGAAGTGTATGTAACCCGAGGTACCACTGTATTAGCTAGTAAACCTCAGTAACCTTCCACAATATTGATTTCAAATTTCTTTTTATCTTATCTGGGAAAGGTCTGATGAGCCCATTACCATTCCAAAATTAATTCAGTCAGGGCTCATAAAATGACATATAAGAGCTAATGTTGTATCCACAGAAAACAAAACTGCTGTAGGTGAAACTGCAGACTGTGAATGACGTCTAATCCAGGGGTGTTGCTGTCCTGTCAATGAAGATGTCTCTGTTACCATCAAGGAACTCTTGTTTGTCTGGGCAAAGCCACCACTGATTGACAAAATGACCCATAATGAGTTGTTATAAATGATAAAGCAGTGATATTGAGCAAATGTTACAGGTCAAATTAAAAATCATCACAAGTCACTCACTTGTCATTTAGGCAGCCTGACCGTGGCCTGGCCTCCGGTCGTGTGGGTTGGCCTTTTCTTTCTAACTGTGCTGCTGGCTTCAGTGAATATAAGAGCACCATTCTGTTAAATTACTTATGGTCATACAAGGACAGGAATTTAGATGGCAGATGCATGCCTACTAGCATTCAGAGAAAGACTGTTGAGTCCCAGGAGCACACATCCATATTAAGGAAGCATGGGAAAGCATTTAATTAGTCTCTAGCTAAAGGGAAACAAGAAAATCCCATCTCTTTTTGGCATGCATGAGAGAAGAAGCTCCTTCCCCGTCCCTTTTGCATGTTAGATTTTATTTACTCATTGCCAAGAACAGAGAGTTGTGGTTGTGTTCCTATTAGCATCCCATAATTGTATAGCATGCTGTAGTCTTTTTGCAAAAAAGCCCATTCTTTTTTTCTTGTTTCTTTTTGAAATAAAAAATTTATTTTCCAAAATAATAAAACTTTTAACCACAATAACTGGATACTAGTGTAGTTAAAAAAAACACCATAAAAAACAATGCAAAATAATCATAACCATAACTGACTTATCTTAATAATATTCAAGCAACTGAATAGGGCAGTTGACATAGAAAGGTCTTCAAGAGTCCCCTGCAAGTGAATATCGAGGATACCTCCTGAATATCAACTGAAAAGTCTTCCACAGCACGGGACTGTGACCCTCAATTCCCAACTTCCGTTGAAGCCAGTCAGGCTTCTGAAGCACAAGGGACAACTGGAGGTGGTTTGGAATGAGGAATAGTTCACAGGTCTGTTTATCTGGGTGCCATTTACCCACACAACTTTATTCCCCTCCGTGGGAATTCTCCTCTTTCCTCTTCCCCTGGGGAAGGAGAATAATAGGAATAATAGGGAATAGCAGAAGCCGCACAGGAAGATACTTTCTGCACATCCCCTGCTGCTGCTGCTGCAGCCCTGCTGAGATCAGATCCACAGCCCCCACTCCCAAGCTGCCTTTCCCTTTAACAACAAACAAACATGGTAGATTGAATGCCGGGCTTGTGCTTCAAAATGCTGTAGTGTGGAAGTTATTAAATCAGCCCTCCCCGACGGGCAGTTTTCTTCTGACTTTAGGCTGGTTAATTTTCTCTCTGTGGCTGTTTTTCGGTTCCCTCTCTCAGACCAAATCCAGTGCTCCATTTCATGGAGTCTTGGGCTCCATTAATGTGCATGCAGACATCTTGTCTTTCTTTTTTTGTTCATAAGTGAAGCATAACATGAAAAATTCAAGTCAGTTTGGAAGCTGGCTATTCTAGGTGAATCTGGGTTTTTATAAATATGTGGCTCTGATGCACCGTAATAACCTTGAGATGCCACAAGTGCTGGTGGTTGGGTTTACAAGCCCAAGGACCATGCAGGAGTAAATGGGTTGTGCTTCTGGTCTCCAGGGTGCAAAGAAGGCCTGTAGGAAGGGCAGGGAACAGGGTCTCATAGGTATTGGTCACTTGTGCATGATTTAATATACATACCTGCCATGCTGCCATCTCTGGATATAAATACATACTGTATTAGGTAGCCAGAAATAAGGAGTTTAACCAAAGGGGACTAAAATAAGCAAAATAACACCAAATAAGTATCCCAATTTTTTTCAGAACAGACATCTCTTGTCAATTTTTTCAATAATGGATGGATGTTCATAGGAAGTGTTGTAAATTTGTATCAGACATAGAGAAATTATGCCTGGGAACTATTTGAATTTGCCAGCATTAGAAAGCTGCCCATTTGTAACTATTCTCCGGTTCTTTTCGTATCTACACTTGCTGCTGAAATGAAACATTGCAAGCAGCCCTTAGATTCCCCCATGACCTTCACAACAACTCTATCAACAAAGCTTATCTTGTTCAGATGTTTCTGCTGGATCAATACACCAGATCTTATCATATGCAAAGTAACTGTTTGAGGATGCTTGATAACCTTAATTCCCATGGAAAGAATATTCTTGTCAAGTAAGATACCATGCATAAATTCAATGACAGTCCATTGCTGTAGGGAGAAAAGGGGGCTGGGCTGGGATATACTGCCTTATTTTTCCTTTAATATACTGTATTGTTGAGTTATTGTCCCCCTTTAGCATG